GTACGTTCCAAAATTGTTTTTTTAATTTTTAAATTTACAACAAAATTTTTTTTAATTTCCGAAAATCATAAACAATCATATCGGTTACTTGGATTTTTTTATTTTTTTATTTTATATCTTTTTGTAAAGAAAAAACTAATTTTTTTTTCTTAATAGTCTTACGAACGTGGACTTGGCGCGATTTTTTTACAGTGAAACTGTTTTTGTTCGGATTTTAGTATTTTTTGTAATTATAATAAAAATTTACAGTTGGTACCAACTTAAATCTCGCGTTGGCTGCATTTTTTATAGCAAACTATTCCCTTGAAGCTACAGTTTATGTAAAAATAATTCCAGCGCACCCTGGCGAATGTAGATGCAAGCTGTGAAATATCTTTTTTTAACTGTAGTTTCCCATCTAATGAAGGATTACTATGCATTCTCGAATTATTTAGTCTGTGGCAGATCACTTTCCCCATCGAGAAAAAGTCAGGATCGAAATTTTTGCGTTGCTATAGTTTGTGCTGATTAAATTTAGTAATTTCAAGTAGATTAATTGTTATAAGTGAATATAATTAATTAATAACAACAAAATAAAGTATGAATTACTGTTATAATATACAATTTAGGAAAAAAAAGTACCGTAGAATTAAATAAAATTTTGCAACCTTAAAATACCGTTCTGCTTACAGTAAACACAGTCGGTAGTCTGGCGCTCCGTTGACAACGGATTTGAACGGAACTTGGCGCCAAATTCTAGCGAATCTGTGGATCAATTTTTTTTTGCATTTTTCAATAGTTTATACTTCGAAATATGACACTAAATTTTTGAGTAATGTATGTTAAATATTTTTGGAGCTACAGTTTTTGAAGGAAGCTGATCCTTTTATTACATGATACTTTTATTTTTAAATGCTTCATTTTCTGAAAAGAATATTTTTCAAATTTGCTTCAATTTTAACTTGATGTTTTTTTTTTATATCAGTACTTAATTCTTTATACAATAACTTTCCAGTTTTTTAATTGCACAAGAATTTCAATTTTATCAGGCCACAAATCATTACATTTTTTATCTAAATTAAAAACTTTTTTTAAAGACCACGCTGTTTCTTCAAAATTTCAATTTTTTTATTTTTGTTAATGAAAATTTCAAAAAATTATCTGCTTTAATTTTTTTTTCGAAAATTCCCAAAAATTACCTTTTTTTTAAATATTTTTAACTTTATTTGATAAAAAAATCTTTGTTGGATATAAGTGCAATACGCACATCTTAATGTCATGACCTGAGTGGTGGGGTAGATGACTTCATCCAAGGGGGAAATGTGTATACACATTATAATAAGGAGTTAGTTCTAATCAACGATGCTTGTTAGTAAGCATCGAGCTTATTTTTGTACTTAGATATTAATAAACCCTTGTTTAATATATATTATGAATTGTCGTTTTAACTTATTAATATAACCTCATATCAATAGGTTATGGGCCCAGAGGCGTTTCTGAGGTAATAGTTTCTTCTATATGTGGTTAATTAATAAGTTTATTCGGAAGCGCGTGGTCAACATTTTTCCCTTGTGAAATAGTCGTTTGAGTGTTCGGTCAAAAATGGCGGCAAGTAACAGCGCGTCGTATAGTTCATCGCGAATCGAGATGTTAACGCGTAATAATTACGACACGTGGTGTATTCAGGTTGAAGCATTATTGACGAGATACGACTTATGGGAATTCGTAGACGGCATTAAGCCGGCTCCTGAGGCTGGCCAGGGTGAAAGTGCGACAGCTGGTGCAGCGGCGCTTCAAGAATGGCTCAAATGCGACAAGAAGTCAGAACTTGTGATGGCTATTCAACCCACTGAGCTACATCACATTCGAGGATGCACTACTTCGTGTGAAGTATGGTTGCGGTTGCAGTCCGTATATGCGTCGCAGGGTCCAGCGCGTAAGGAAACTCTGTTGAAGAGACTTACACTTCAGCGTCTGGAAGATGGCGGCGATGTAAAGGAGCATTTGGCAAAATTCTTCGATGCTATGGACAAGCTGAAGGGTATGGATGTAAAAATCAATGGCGACTTGTTGTCAATTATGTTATTATATAGCCTGCCTGCGTCGTACGACAATTTTCGATGTTCTATGGAGTCAAGGGATGAATTACCCACCGCTGATGTCCTCAAGGTAAAAATCATTGAAGAAACAGAGGCCAGGAGAGTGGAATTATCAGGAAGTGATGTAGTGGCCATGGCAGGTGGTAGTGCGTACCAAAAGCATGGTAAGCACAAGATCACGTGTTACAAGTGTGGTAAAGAGGGGCATAAGGCAAATGTGTGTCCTTCCAAGAAGTCTGAAGGTTTTCAAAAATTTCAGAAGCCATCGGCTAATAATGTCGATGAGTCATATGCTGTGAGTCATACAGTTATAAATGGTGTGTGTCATAATGCAAAGATTAGTACGGCTAATAGGGCGTGGTTGCTAGATAGTGGATGTACTGCACATTTGTGTGGTGATCAAGAATGTTTTAAATCGATGAGTGAGTCATCAAATATAAAACTTATTCTTGCAAGCCAAGCATCGACTCAAGTGAAGGGTAAGGGTGTTGTTCATTTACCAGTGTCAAGTAGCAGCGGGTATAAAGTGTATGAATTCAAGGACACGCTATATGTTCCCGACTTAAGAACAAATTTAATTTCAGTGGCGAAGATTACGAATAAGGAACATGAGGTTACTTTTCGTAGAAATGACGCGTATGTGCGAGATGAGCACGGTAATATAAATGTGATTGCCGATCGTAAAGGCGATCTTTATGTTGTTCGTGAAGGATCTGAGTGTGCGGAAGCAGCTGTCCAGTATGGGTGCTCCGAACTGTTGAAGTGGCACGCCAGGTTAGGCCATCTAAACGTGAAGGACTTGATGACGTTAGTTCGTGAACGAGTAATGTCTACGATTGACACTCGGGAAGTTGAGCGATTAACGGAGTGCATTGTTTGTACAAAAGGAAAAATGACTGCCTTACCTTTTCCCAAAGGACATGTACCGTGTGATGAAATTTTAAAAATTATTCATTCGGATGTTGTTGGGCCTTTCCGGGTAGAGTCATTGGGTCGTGCTCGGTACTTTGTCACGTTTATTGACGATAGTACAAGGTGATGTGAAATATATCTTTTGCGACAAAAAAAGTGGTGTGTTCGACGCATTCCAAATGTACCAGAATCTTGTGGAAAAACAGACTGGAAGAAAAATTAAATGCTTGTAATCCGACAACGGTCGAGAATATTGTAATGCAGAGTTCGATAGATATTTAACTGATCAGGGTATTACGAGGAGATTAAGTGTTCCTCGCACTCCTCAGCAGAACGGAGTAGCGGAGCGAATGAATCGCAATTTGTTAGATATGGCTAGGTGTTTGCTATTGCAATCCGGTATGGCAGCCTCTTTCTGGTCAGAGGCTATTGCTACTGCCTGCCATATACGAAATAGATGCCCTACCAGCAGTTTAGCTGGTCAGATTCCATTTGAAAAATGGTTTGGACGAGAAGTGAGTTTAGAGCATCTTAGGGTGTTTGGGTCAAAAGTACACGTACTAGACAAAGATCCTAATAAGGATAAGTTCGCACCAAGGGCCAATGAAGGCGTATTCGTGGGATATCCTCGAGCGAACAAGGGATTTAGAGTTTGAATTCCAAGGACACGACAAATAATTGTGGCCCGAGACGTAAAATTCCTAGAAGAGTCTGAAAAGGTAGCATGTGATGATACATGCATTTTTGATGAAATAATTGAAGTGGCAGATCCGAAAACGGAGCTCGGTAGTCGTTCGATCCTCGAAGTTTCGCCTCCTCCACTCAAGACTAGCGAAATTGAAGAACAATCGATAATGACGCCGAAGATGCAGGGGTCGATTGATGATTCAATACCAGCACTTAAAAGAGGTCGTGGTAGACCTAAATTACTTCGCACTGGATCAAGAGGGCGCCCTGTCAAGCTTTTTCACTCGGCACGCTCATCAGTGGAAGATGAGGATCCAGCCAGTGATGTAACTGAACCAGAAGATGAGGTATTTGCTAATGTAGCCGAAGTAAGCATCACAGAGGCCTTAAAGAGTGAAGCATGTGAAGAATGGAGAAATGCTATTAGAGCTGAGGTGCTCAGTCTTATCAAAAATGATACCTGGGAAGTTGTAAAAATTTATGACAAAAGAGACATCGTCGGATGTCGTTTTGTGCTTACAAATAAATATGGTCCAGAAGGCAATATTGAGAGACGCAAGGCACGATTGGTGGCAAAGGGGTACAGTCAAAAGTACGGCGTCAATTATCACCAGACGTTTGCCCCAGTAGCACGATTAGAGACACTGAGACTGCTGTTGGCTCTTGCAGTTGAATTTGAAATGTCGGTTTGGCAATTTGACGTGGTAACAGCCTACCTAAATGGGACATTAAAGGAGGAAGTAATCATGAAAGTCCCTGAAATGCTTGATGAGACATTGAATGAGATTGTGTCCAAGGAGGGCAAAAATTCAGACATAGGGGCTAAGGCAGTGAAGATGATAAATGATTTACGTAACGGTGGCAATGTGTGTAAACTAAAAAAGGCTTTATATGGATTGAAACAAGCGGGTCGCCAATGGTATGAAAAACTCAGCCAAAAACTTTTGATTTTTGGTCTGAAGCCCATGAAAAATGAGCCATGTTTATTTGTCGGTGAAATAAGTGGTCATCTTGTGTATGTGCTTATTTATGTAGACGACTTTTTAGTGGCGTCACAATATCACGATTCTGTGGACGTTTTGAAATGGCGATTGATGGAAGAATTTGAGATAAAGGATCTCGGTATTGCAAAATATTGCTTGGGTCTTGAGATCATTCAAAACGAGGGCCAAATTGTACTCGGACAAACAGGATATATAAAGGGATTATTGGCACAATATGGAATGAGTGAATGTAACCCGATAGCAACGCCCTCAGAGATAAATTCGCATTCTGTTGATATAAATGACAGTGAAAAATGTGAAAACTATCCATATAGAGAATTAATAGGGGCACTTATGTATTTATCTGTAGCAACGCGTCCAGATATTGCGAATACCGTGTCCAGGCTAGCTCAGTTTGTTGAAGAACCACGTAAATGTCACTGGATATCTGCTAAGAGAGTGCTGAGATACCTTGCTGGCACTTCAGATTTCGGGCTTTTGTATACGAAGTCCAGTAAACGATTGGTCGGGTTCACAGATGCTGATTGGGGCGGATGCAGTGTAGATCGTCGGTCTTACACGGGCTATGTGTTTATACTCGGTGGAGCTGCTATTTCATGGAAGTCTCAGAAGCAACGCACAGTAGCATTGTCGTCAACTGAAGCAGAATATGTCAGTCTAACTGAAGCGGCAAAAAAAGCCATCTATTTAAGGGCTTTGATGTTGGAGTTAGATCTTGAAAATTTCGCGAAAGTAACAGTATTTGTGGATAATCGTGGTGCACAGTTTCTTGCAAATAATCCAATTTTTCATGCACGCACAAAACATATCGACATCAGATATCACTTCATTCGGGACGCAATGAAAAATGAACTTTTTCAATTGGAACATATTCCTACAGGAGATATGGTTGCCGATGTTTTAACCAAGCCATTGAGTCGTGTGAGTCACGAAAAATGTTTATATCATTTTGGATTTTGTACATACTAGTTGTGTGCATATTCAGAGGGCGTGTTGGATATAAGTGCAATACGCACATCTTAATGTCATGAAGGGGAAGGGGAAGGGGTGGGGTAGATGACTTCATCCAAGGGGGAAATGTGTATACACATTATAATAAGAAGTTAGTTCTAATCAACGATGCTTGTTAGTAAGCATCGAGCTTATTTTTGTACTTAGATATTAATAAACCCTTGTTTAATATATATTATGAATTGTCGTTTTAACTTATTAATATAACCTCATATCAATAATCTTGAACCAAGAAATTTTTTTTAGTTTACGATTTCTTCTCTTAAATCAAGTTAATTTTTCTATCAATGTACAATTCTAGGTATGGCTACACTGATAAAAAAAATGACTTGATTCAAGAAAAACATTTTCTTCAAAATATTCTTGTTTTAAGTAATTCAATTCTCTTAACTTAAGATATTGTTTCTCAAATTGAGAAACTTGGTTGTTTCAAAATTAGATATATACAACTTCGCCCAAGATTTTCTTTTTCTTGGATTAAGACAGACGATAACATTGGTTCAAGATATTACCGACTTGTTTCAAGTATGGCGTGACCATTGAATTAAGATATTATTTTACTTGTTTTAAGGAGGTATTGCGCCAAAAAAAAGACACCAATAAGTTATGGCTATTGGTTTCTTTCTCACACACTAGTGCTGCCTCTTTTTACAGACTAATCGCTCACTTACTTCCACTCACGTAGAATATCAAAAGTCACTAACTTCAAACATTTCTTATAAAAAAATAAATACCGCTCATTTGCGTTATTTTTGATAAAAAATATTTGTTAAGTATAACTTCAATTAAATATTTTCAGTTTTTCAAAAAAATTCTAAGAAAAGTATGGTTGTTATTCAATAAAATGTTCACTCTAACTACGGTCAAGTTACGGAATACATGTTAAATATACAATTTTTAATTGCTAATATTTTGAAAATTAGCACCGCAAGGACTATTAAAAAAAATTTATTCGTATGGAGGACACTTAAAAAGTACGCGTACTCAAAAATTAAAGAATGTTGTAAGAAACATGATTTTGCACAATACCTCCTTAAGCATATAAATTTTTGTATTGTTGCTACTCTCTGTATTAATAAATATTTTTCGGCATATAAAGAAATACAAATTGTTTTATTTCAAAGTTTTTTTCTGACTGAAACTTATAACATTATAAATAAAAAAAATTTGTTCTTGAATCAACAATAATTCTTGGAATGAAATAAAATTATTCTATATTTAAGAAAGACTTTTTTGAATAAAGAATTCACTTGTATTGATCGAAGATAATATAGTCTTGAACCAAGTAAAAATTTTATTGATCGGAGTGATTGGATCTCTCACTCCAAGAAACATGAAATCAAGACAAGAACTTCTTGAAATAAAACAACTAGTTCTCTTCAAAATAATTTTCTTGCAGTAAGAATATTTTTCTTGAATTAAGATATTTTTTTTTATTAGTATACACTGATAAAAATTTTAACTTGACTCAAAAGCAAAAATCTTGAACCAAGAACACCAATTGGAAGAAAATGAATTTCTTGAGCCAAGAGGAAAAATTCTTGAGTCAAGATAGATTCTCTTGAATTAAGAAAATATATCTTGACCCAAGAATTTTTCCTTTTGGCTCAAGAAATTCATTTTCTTCCAATTGGTGTTCTTGGTTCAAGATTTTTGCTCTTGAGTCAAGTTAAAATTTCTATCAGTG